AATTAAAACACACATGAGAAAAGACCGTCAGAGATATAGATTGGAACAACTTGAAAAATGTATAAAAAGAACTGGAGGCACCAAAAAAGCAGTTAAATTACTACTGGAAAAACGAGATTGGATACCACACTTATTAAATAAAAATAATAAAAACGAAAAACGACGCCCTGAAATATTATCAATAGCTACACGATTCTTTCAAGAATTATATTCAAGCCAAATCACTGCAGAAACATCATTCTTAACAGATGGAAGTGAATTACCGGATATAATGCACGAAGAAATAGAAAAAGCTGTGAGAACTCAAAAACCTGATAAAGCTCCAGGGTCAGATGGCATAAGTAATGAGTTCCTAATTCTCAATAAAATTCACCTAATTCCAATTCTTAAACATATTTTCAACCAAGTCTTACAAACTGAGACGATACCTTACCAGTGGACAACATCATCCATAGTACTTTTACATAAAAAAGGAGACAAAAACAACATCAATAATTATAGGCCTATAAGTCTAATGTCAAATATATATAAAATCTTTGCAAAAGTAATACTCAGTAGAATAAGTAATATTTTGGATGAAAATCAACCCAGAGAGCAGGCGGGTTTCAGGAGTGGCTATTCAACCTTAGACCATATTCATGTCATCAAACAATTGTTCGAAAAAGGTAAAGAACATAACTTAACTTTCTACTGTAGTTTTGTGGACTACAGTAAAGCATTTGATACAATCGAACACGAAAAAATCTGGAATGCACTCAAAAACCAAGGGGTTGAACATAAATATATCAGGATCCTTAAAAATATCTACTCAAACAGTAAGGCGAAAATAAAATTGGAAAAAGAAGGCAAAGAGATCAAAATGGAAAGAGGCGTACGCCAGGGCGATCCCTTATCACCAAAACTTTTCACTGCAGTTTTGGAAGACGTCTTTCGACAATTAGATTGGGCGACATGTGGACTATCCATTAACGGTGAAAATTTATCACATCTCAGATTTGCTGATGATCTAATAATCCTATCATCATCAAGTAATGGGCTACAGGCGATGCTAGATGATCTTGTAAGAGAAAGTGGCAAGGTGGGATTGGTCATGAATACATTAAAGACCAAGGTTATGACCAATGGTAAGGAAGAACCTATACTGGTGAATAACAATCCACTAGAATATGTCAAGGAGTACATATATTTAGGCCAGGTAATCGCTCTGGCTGATCAGACCACAAAAGAGATAGACAGGCGCGTGGGAAATGCCTGGAAACAGTTTTGGAGCTTGAAGGAGGTCATGAAGAGTGGTGGTATCAGTATAGGCATTAAACGGAAACTCTTTGATGTCAGCATACTCCCTGTACTCACATACGGCTGCCAAACTTGGGCACTCACCAAAGCAAATATTAAAAAGCTGGAAACTTGCCAAAACTCCATGGAAAGAAGTATGATGGGGAAAAGACTATCTGACAGAATAAGAGTGGATACTATAAAGGAATACACAAAAACAAAACATGTCACTACAACAATAAAAAAGCTAAAGTGGAGATGGTCAGGTCATATAATTAGAGACAAAGATAAATGGTCAAAATCAATAATGAATTGGTTCACAAGTCATATGAAGAGGAAAAGAGGTAGACCATCCAGAAGGTGGGTGGATGATATTAAAGCCGTAGCAGGAGGTTTATGGACAAGAACTGCCAAAGACAGAGAGGAATGGAAAAGGTTGGAGGAGGCCTTTGTCAATAAATGACATACAGACGGGGTTATCGATGCTAAATAGTTAAGGATATAGATAAGACTTTGATATATAAAATACATAAAAATAAAATTGTTAACAAAAAGAAATTAAGATATGTACATGAAATACTGTCTGAATAAAGGCTATTATTATTATTATTATTATTATTATATTTGCTATAGGGACTTGTTGGTTGTGTATTTAGGAGCGCTCTCGGGTGATAGCAGCTGGTTTGTGTTGTAGTAATAGTAATACGATCTTGTTGTGGCAATGTGTCACGATTTCCTCTTTTGAAAGACGATTTCGTCTTAACACAAAATTTATAATTTTAAAAAGAAATACTTAATGACTATAAATGACAGAGAGAGACATATCATTAATTTATTGCCAGTCGAATGGTACGAAGGTCGCGTTATGTTAATTATAGGTGATTTAAGTAAAATGAACAAATAGTTGAATAATGATAAAAAATAATTGTGCTTTTAAGTTGAATTTCGTTTGTTACCAGTACCACCAGCTGGGTAATGGATCTGTGCTATGTCGGTAGCTGATATTTTTTCTTTTTAATAAAACCAATTAATTTAGTAATTATTATCATTAATTTAATACGTGTACTCTTCAAATAATTTGATCAAATCTAATAAAGCTTTAAGGCAAAAGAAAGTTCTTGGTGAGGGTTCGCCATGGGAATTAGTTAGACCAATGTACCGGTATACGGAATCGTTCTGGTTTCGCGAGGCATCCCACCACTAAAATCTGGCAATGGAAAAAGTAGTCATTTAAGAAATAAAAGATGCAAATAATTTTTCATGACGTCACTACCTTTAATGTGCGAGCGAGATGTCATGATGTTCCACCTAAATTTTTAAATATTGCATTAGATTGCTGTTCAGAATGAAGTTTCATTGAACGATGCAATAAAACATTAATTTTCACTATAATTTAAGTTCAACACAGATATTTGTTGCAGGTTTTCGAAACTATCAGACAGGATGTTTGCTTTCGACATAGATTACAAACATTGGAGTGAAATACATTATCCTAGAGCACACTTGCGCGACACTTATGTGCCACGAGAGAGAGCTTTCCACACCTCGACTATTATAGGTAACATATATAAATTAACATAGGTAATACAATGTTTTAAAAAAAACAGGAAAAGCGACTTTCATAAAATCAATGAAAATAAGAATTTCATCAATGTAGTCGAAGTCAATTAAATATAATTAATAATTAAGGATAAACTGCTTGGAAGATCTTGATAAAACTTAAATGAGAACACATTCGGTTCGCCTAGAAAAAAAGTTTTAAGATAACACACATAAAAAATTCAGTCAAATTGATAATCACCTCCTTTTTTGAAGTTGATTAAAAAAGAAAAATAATGCTTATAAAAGTAGTTTATCGTTATGACATTTCTTTTCGTATTGCCTCGAGTGTAAGTGAAATATATTTTTTTATACGCCCAGGTAATTATTTGATCGTTTTCGGCGGTTATTCGCATCGGCACAACAAAGACGAGATCTGTTACGACAGTCAAATGTATATTTATCATTTGGGTTGTCACTCGTGGATACCTTTAGATGTATTAGGTAAAACTCGTAAGCTGTATCCGAAGAAGCAAGGAGTGTTCGCCCACGCGGCTGATCTGAAGCCGCCTTCGACTTTGCTTATTGCTGGGGGATATCACGGCAACGTAAACGGTAAGACATATTAATAGAACATTGTTTACAAATTCAGCACTTTGTCTTGCTTAGTCGTGCTCACATGGCTTATGTTGCAAGCCAGATTTTGTTTCTTTTTACTTGTTTTTTTTATGTATCTTTTTAGTTTGTGATGTGTATTGTGTGCCTAATAAATAAAATAAATATAAATAAAACCTACTATAATAGCACTTATTGCCAGTACTAAAAAAAAACACTATATTGATGTTTTCTATGGTATAATATGTTTTTAAACAGTTAATCTAGTTCATACTTTGTGTTGACTGTGTCTAAATATATTTGTTCAAAGTATTGATATTTATGCTTTTCGAAACTAAACAAAAATATGTATTAAAAGTCGATTGTAATGCAAGTGCATCTAATTGATTTTCATACATGGAAGAATATCGGCATCATGGTGTCTTGTATAAATTTCGAACCGATGTAACGGCCAGTTTTTGTCTACTTTGAAATATGTGTGGATGTGATGATAACGATCAAAGTAGTGATAATGAAACCAAAACCGTCTTGTGAGCCCGCGCGGGTAGTTTTGTTATTGCTTACATGTGTGGACGAGCTCACAGCTAACCTGGTGTTAAGTGGTTACTGGAGCCCATAGATATCTACAACGTAAATGCGCCACCCACCTTGAGATATAAGTTCTAAGGCCTCAGTGTAGTTACAACGGCTGCCCCACCCTTCAAACCGAAACGCATTACTGCTTCACGGCAGAAATAGGCAGGGTGGTGATACGATACCTACCTGTGCGGACTTACAAGAGTGGACTTACAAGAGTGGACTACCATCAATAAAAATTATCTCTACCCTGCTTATTTCTGCTGTAAAGCAGTAACGCGTTTTGGTTTGAAGCATGGGGCAGCGGCATTTATTTTGTTGATGTCTATGGGCTTCGGTAAACATCTAACAACAGGTGGCCTGTGAACTGCACCTTTCTAAGCAATAAAAAAGGTAATACATATGTAGATTAATTGCTAATTTCTTGTATGTTTTGTCCATTTAAAGGTGACCTATTAGCATTCATAGTTCCCAGTTGGCAAGCGGGGATATTGAATAAAAATCCAGAATCCTCATGTCCGCGTCATCATTCGCAACCTGAATGTCTAGCCGATCCTGAATGTGGATGGTGCTCTGCGGATAACGTGAGTAGATTTGATTAAACAAAACAAACACATAATTAAATGAATAATACATATCATTATTATGTTCATACATAAAAGTAGTGAATATATCAAAGGAACAAAAATTACAGATGGGTGGTAGAAGCAGTGATGCGTTTCGGTTTGAAGGGTGGGGCAGCTGTTGTAACTATACTGAGACATTAGAACTCATGTCTCACGGTGGGTGGCGGCATTTACGTTGTAGATGTCTATGGGCTTCGGTAACCACTTAACATCAGGTGGGCTGTTTGCTCGTCCAGCCATCTATGCAATAAAAAATTTATTTAAAAAACTAGTTCAAATGAAAGTTATCCAATATTCTGTGTCATTTTATGTTTGTGTGTTATGAAATACGAACACTTCATCTTAAATATTAAGGATGTAAATAGCGATGTGTATTTATGTACACAGATATGTTACGGACGTACGATTGGCTCGAATTGTACCACAAATCTGCAGTCAATACGTTGCGGCGGCATCTGTCCTGCCCTAGGCGATTGCCACTCTTGTCTCATCCACGGACCGCCGCTGGAAAACCAGAATGTGTCCCGCAAACCTCTTCCCTCAGTGAGCACGAAGCTCGGCCTGCAACAGTGTAACTGGTGCGTGCAAAACGCACGTTGCCATCACAAAGACGGTACTTACTAATTAATATATGTTTTTGTAAAGTGTATTATTTAAGTTAGCCTTTCAATCGTGTATATGTTGATGACGTTTCCAAAATCGTATATACGGCTTTGTGAGTACAAGTATTGGACGGTTACACGGACCGCGCGACATTGAGACCTAGGTCTAGAAAACCTGTTTTTCTCTAAATGTATATGGAATTTCGTATAATTTCACCTAGATTGATCAAGAAGATAGATTTCTTTATGTCATGTCTTATAACTACACCTGACAGTTCTATTATAAATAATACGTGGTACTCAGATTTAACTTTCATTTTCCGATAAAAAAAATTTAAAACGCTTGCTGGATGTAATGTTATAAAGTTTTTATACAAACAAACGTACCTAACAAAAACACGATACAAGTGGCACATGTTCCAAGACTTTTTTAGAAAATAAAAGCAAACCAATAGTATATTTTCTTTCAGATAATTACGGAGTTTGCGGAGAAGACACGCCTTCCGAAAATCCGGGCTGGTGGGGACCGACCGGTACCGAAGTAACCACACCAGACGAGTGTAAAATTCTTGACAAAAGACCGGGTCTAACGTTTCTTAGATACCAACAGCCGGCCGATTGGAACCACCCCGACGGCGTGTCCGTTGTAAACGCGACCACCGTGGACTGGGGCACGGGGTCGGGCAGTAACCAACTGTTCATAGGAACGAGCGAAGCACATTTAAAAGGATGGCTCCACATCCCGCAACATTGGAATGGAACTGGGGAAACGCTGCACGTATGCGCCGGGTATTCGAACGTTTCTATTCAATTAGGTGATAACGCAGATGCAGTGACGAACTTAACGGCGCAACCTTCAGCTTGTTCCCTCGTCGACTGGCCAATATTAAACCCGGGGAAGCTATCAGTAGATATGCACGCGAATGATTCTTTACACACCGGACTATACCCCTCACATCATCATGCCAAAATGGAATTATTGCACAACAAGTCTCAGGAGAGTGCCAAGGTGAGTATCCCCGTCGAGTCTTTAACTCTAGTGTTTTAACAAAGAATGTAACTAATTCAATATCTATTTTAGGTTTTCACATTTGAATTTTTGGAACCGTTCTCCGACGGGCAATGCTCTAACTACGACAATTGTTTGTTGTGCTTATCTGATGCCGCTTGCGGTTGGTGTGAACTGACGAATCGATGCGAACCCAGAAATGCTGACGAGAAATCGGTGTGCGTCGTGGACGGCCAGTGGAGGTATCTCACATTGCTGCCGGCCGCTTGTCCAAACTGTTCCAATTACATAAGCTGCGAGCGCTGCGTGTCCGGCCCGCACTGCGAGTGGTGGGCGGACGAGGCTCGCTGCACGCGGCGCGGCCGGGCCGCCGGCGCCGTGCTGGACGCCGCAGACTGTCCGGCGCCGTGCCGCATGCGCCTCGACTGCGAGCACTGTCTCGACGAGCGCGGCCGCTGCGTCTGGTGCGAGGCCACTCATCAGTGCTTCAGCTTCAGTGTTTACACCAGTGAATATCAGTTCGGCTTGTGTCGAGAGTGGCTCGACCGGGCCTCCGTGCCGGCCGAAGAAGCCATGCGAAAATCTGGTCAGTGCAAATCTTGTGGACGCCACGCTCAATGTTCTACGTGTTTGCGCAGTATGGGTTGCGGATGGTGTCACTCGTTTGAGAACCCTATTAACGGCGCTTGTACCGAGGGCGATTTCACTAAACCTCATAACGATTGCGCTCTGTTGTTGAACGTGACCCCTGAGGACGCGGGGTGGGCGTATGCGCAGTGTCCGGACGTCGACGAATGCGGCCTCGGCCTTCACGACTGCCACGAGCATGCCGATTGTACCAACACGCACGGGTCGTACACATGCAAATGTAAACAGGGTTATATAGGCGACGGCAAAAAAAGCTGCGTCCAAACGTGTTACAATAACTGCATTCACGGGTACTGTCTCGGTGCTCCTCAATATAAATGTCACTGTGACCTCGGATGGACCGGTGCGGACTGCTCTATTAATTGCGGATGCCACAATCATTCGACGTGTAAAGGTGGCGTCGGTCGATGTGACGAATGCCAAGACTGGACTGAAGGTAAATTCTGCGAGAGATGTAAACCGGGAAGCCACGGTAATGCAACAACCGGACAGGGATGTCGCCGGTGTGACTGTAACGATCACGGAGATGAAACGCGGGGCTTTTGTGATGTGACCACAGGAGAGTGCATTTGTAAAGACAACACCGAAGGACTGAATTGTGAACGATGTAAATCGAAATTTTACGGCGACCCTCGTCACGGTGGTCGATGTTATTATCAATGCGAACCCAGAGGCATGATCAATGCCTCCGAAATAGAGGGTATCGGATCGTATAAAACCGACCCTGATATAAAGAGTATAGGCCCCTCAAAAGAATGTTTGTGGATCATATCAGCGGCGGACGTCAAGGACGCTATTATTTTGTTTACTGTGAACTCGTCTACTTTCAACGTGCCGTGCGATGAAAACGCAGTTTACGTGTACGACGGTCTGGGCGGCGTTCCAGACATGAGTAATAACCAGCAGAGTCAATTGTTGGGTGTGTTCTGTAACGGCGCTTCTTCTGGTATAGTCGAAGCTAGAAGTGGAAATTTGACAGTACATTACAAACAAGGACAACCCGATCAGGGGTTCGAGGGTGTATATAAGATGCTGGCGTGCGATGGACATTGCGCTTGGCCGAGGGAATGCAGTAAACGTCATTGTGCTTGCAGGGACGGCTATGGGGGGCCGAACTGTGAATTCGAAATCTGTAGGAACAATTGTTCCTTGTCCCAAAACGCGGGTAGTTGCGACCTTAGCTACGGACGGTGCCTCTGTAACGAGGGATACGGTGGCGATGATTGTTCTGTTAAAATAGACAAAACGCAGTTAGTGTTCACAGAGCTATTTAATTCGGAATATTTATCGGACGGATTGGATCACCTCAGGAAAACCTTACCGAGATTCGGGCACACTTTAGTTGCCGATCGACGTGGATTGTGGATGTTCGGTGGATATTCACTCTCACACGGTCCACTTAACGATATCAGGTTTTTTGATACGAAAAATAATACATGGATGCAGGTTACAGTGGAAGCAACGCCGGATGCGAAAATGCCCGAAGGTCGATACTTCCACGCAGCTGAAATATATCATTCTAAACAAAATATTTATATCTACGGTGGTTTGAGCTTACAAGAGAAAAGTGGACAGAATAAGACTTTAGGTGATTTCTGGCAATTCAGTTTGAAAGATCAACGATGGGCTAATATAAAAAGCAAAGACGACAAGCCTCCACCTTTAGCTGGCCATACATTAACTTTACAAAAGTATCAAGACTACGAGAGCTTAGTTTTGATCGGGGGGTTTTCACTGGAGGGTGGGTTTATGTCCGACATTTGGGAATTCGATCTTGACAACGAAAAATGGGCAAAATTAAATTGCGAGGGAGCAAAACCAACGGGCATCATCGGGCACAGCAGCGTATATCACGCTCCTTCGCAAAGCCTCTACGTTTTTGGTGGAATATTGTATTCTTATAACGGAACGAGTTTGTCGAATAAACTCTTTTCATTTCACTACCCTACTAAGAAATGGAGCGAGCTTCCTATTTTTCCAACTTTACATCACTATAACGATAATTTGCCACAAGCAACATATTTACACTCTGCGGTCACAACGAATGATTACATGATAATATTCGGTGGGAGAACAGAGCCCGAACACAGATCGGACTCTTTAATCGCGTACGTCTATAGTTGTAATCAGTGGGTGCGTTTAGTGAAAGGTGAGTTAAACATTTAATAGTTTCCTTTGTACATTAAGATAAGAACGTATTGATATAATTGCATATTTCCAGGTGTCAGTATTGTCGGACATCCACCTCCGCCCACAATAGCACACGCTATGGCCATAGACAGTGAAACGGAAAACGAAGGATACATTTATATAATAGGAGGTTGGACGGGTAGCGCTCATTGCCAAGTGACGCGGATCTCTCTGCCGGAGGATCTCTGTTCGCTATGGAGTTCCAGTAAAATGGAGTGCCGCAGTCATATGGGTTGCAGTTTCTGCAGCACCGGAAATTACACGAAATGCTATTCAGTCGACAAGCCGGGATGTGAGAGCGGTGAGCGGGTATCAACGAATACGGGTTCCGCGTGCGATGCCGAATTGGTATCTAGGCGTTCGTGTGAAAATTTCACTACGTGTGCTTCTTGTCTGGGCGCTTGGCCTTTGTATCCTGAAGAGAAGCCGGCGTGTAGGTGGTGCGAATCGTGTGCTGCGGCTGTGGGTAAGCAACTGATTTAGGTACCATTGTTTGGTGATTTAAATCATGTACGTGTTAATATTATACATATTCTAATAATTTTTAATACTTTTAAAGGCGAGTGCGTGCCGACGGATGAGTCTTGTACGAGTATGAAGTGTAACGCTGGTACAACGTATATCAGCGACGTAGGTCAATGTCCCGAGCTCAGATGTGTGGCGTCCGACTGCGATAGATGCGTATCCAATCAGTGCACGTGGACCAGACACGCAAAAAGAGAAGGTATGCACTTTTGCTTACTGAATGATACGATTTATTTACTGCTAGTAGTGTGGGTTGATTTTCATTTTTAACCAATATAGGTCAGATAACGAGAGTGGTGGAAGACGCACAAGAATTATTCAATTGGACTTGTGTGTCGATCGACGAACCTGGACGCGCGAGTCTTCGGCCTACCACCAGGGAGGAGTGTCCCAGTCGCTGTCACCTATTCGAAGATTGCCAATCGTGTTTGAGTTCAGAGGGAAGCGAGGGCGGTTACTCTGAATGTCACTGGGCAACGTATTTAGGCAAATGCATATCGCCTGCCTATCAACCGGTGTATTGCGCGGGCGGAGTTTGCGGTTTAGTTTTAACGAAAGCGGATAAGAACAAGTGTCCGGCGCCGTGCGGGACCTTCGAGCAGTGTTCGGAGTGCCTGCACCACTCGCACTGCGGCTGGTGCGCTGTGGACGGCGCCAACGGGGAGGGCGTGTGCGCCGAGGGGTCCATCGACTCGCCGCTCGAGTACTCGGCGCGGACTACTTGCGCGGCCGTGTACGAAAGCGCGCACCAGACGAACAACACTAACGAAACGTTCTCGTGGCACTACACGCGCTGTCCGCCGGAGAACGAGTGCGAAAATAATCACCACCAATGTAAAGCTGAGTCAGAGGTGAGGAATTCGACAGTAGAACACATTCACCGAGACGTGAACTTTAAAGGCTTCGTCAAACCGAACGCGTACTTAGCGCTGCGTTTTAACGTCACGCTCTTTTCATGTCACACAAATTGACTAGATGAGCCTAACGCTCCTTAACGCAACGTAATATCCGCCAAATCATAGTGCCTTTCTATAGCGGTCTGAAAATTTAAAAGTATTAAGATGTCTAGTGATTCAGATGTGGCATTGTATAAGCGTGGGTATTTTCTAACTAATTCTATCAATTTTTCGGGCATTATCCAGTACTTTAATACACATTCACTCGGACGCTAAAATAAAATTTGTAAAAAATTACAACGCGTGACGTCAAAGCGTCCTAACGCCGCGACAGAGCTTTGCTTACTTATAGCGCTGGCGTTCTGTTTGACAGTATTTTACCATAGTAGTACAAAACATTTCGGACGTCATCGTTCTTGTCGAACCCGTCGCTTGCGACGAAGGGCTCGACGAGTAAATTAACCCTCAGACACAGCCCACTGAGTTTCTCGCCGGATCTTCTCAGTGGGTCGCGTTTCCGATCCGGCGGTAGATTCTGCGAAGCACGGCTCTTGCTAGGGTTCGTGTTAGCAACGTCATCAGGTTTGAGCCCTGTGAGCCTACTAGTTAAGGCTACGTTGATATAGCCTCTCAAGGCTCTCAGCTTAGGTAGGAAAAAAAAACCATCTCGTTGTTATGACGGTTATGGCGTGCCGTCAGTTTAGCGTTCTGACGCGCGCTAAGTACGCGTTCTGTTTGACGAAGCCTTAAAACATAGAATTATTTAATGTGAACATGTAACGTGTAATGTGTAGGTGTGCCGCGACCTGCCGTTCGGGTACGAGTGCGCGTGCGGGCGGGGCCACCGGCGCGCGGCGGGAGGGGGGTGCGCCGCCGTGTGCTCGCAGGGCTGCGTGCGCGGCGCCTGCGTGCAGCCCGACCTCTGTCGCTGCGAGTTCGGCTACGTCGGCGCCAACTGCACCATCCAGTGCCAGTGCAACGGACACTCCGACTGCGAGGGTCCCGACAAACTCGACAAATGTATCAAGTGTCATAATAATACCACCGTACGTATTGTTCCGTAAATGCACAAACAAAAGTTATATTCTGACCGGTTGTGATACATTTCTTTTGTTTCTGCAGGGTAATCAATGCGAGAAATGCATGCCTAACTTCGTGGGAGATCCGGTGAACAATGTCCAGTGCGTGCCGTGCTCCTCTTATTGTTACGGACATACGCTGAAGTGCACGAACGAGGGGGAACCTGTCTCGGCGGCTGTGGAGGGTGAAGAATTCTACAGAGACGCGGCGCCGTCCACACGTGCGCGGTGCGTGCGCTGCGCTAACAACACCGACGGCCAGCGCTGCGAGCGATGTATCGAAGGATACTTCAGGGGTTCCGAGGACTTCCGAGACCCTTGCAGGCCGTGAGTGTCATAATGTCATATTTAAGTGAATTCTTTAACTTTGAAAAAAATCTAGTAGAATTTTATGTACACTTACCGGATGTTTTTTTTTGTGTAGTTGCGAATGCCACGGTCACGGCGACACGTGCGATCCCGTCACCGGCGAGAAGTGCAACTGTGGTAATAACACTGAAAGTGACGTCTCCTGTCAAACTAGCAGCTCAAGCAAGAATTCGGCACAGGAATGCTGGCGTTACCAGTGCGTGAAATGTAAGGACCTATACATGGGCGACCCGAGGAACGGACATCAATGTTATAAAACGATTAATATCGAGAATCGACTGTGCTTTGACGGGAAATCCATTGGTAAGATCAGTTTCGTTGTTAACGTTAACATTTTCGATGTTCAATAATTTGTATATTTAAATTTACTTTTGTTCCAGACGAATGTAAAATAAAGCCTCGACCTCTGTTCCCCGGTCAGACCGTATTCTTTGCAGTTAATCCACGTTATATGAACGTTGACATAAGAGTTATAGTGGACGTGACCCAGGGCTCTGTCGACTTATACATGAGTCCGAACGATAGCTCGTTTGTGGTCTCGGTGAACTCGAGCACAGGGGCTCACAACGTCGAGCTAGATCCGACGTACTACAAGCACGAGCCTTTCAGGAAGATGCCGACGTTCGACGAAGACGAACCCGAGAAGCCGCACATGTTCTGGTACTACGACAAGATCGAGTATCTGCTCGCGGACTACACGGCGAAGGACCTGGCAACGTACGTCGCCATAGACCGGAGGAACGTTCTGTTGCGCGTCAGGAACCTCCGCAATCGGCTCGTGCTCACACTGCCTCATAACATCCACGACCTCGCGCACACTAAGTTCTACATAGTGGTTCGTTCGCGGCACACAGACGACGGCTCCGCTAGCTACGGCGTCGTATATTTCCGTCAGGACCAACTCCACATAGATCTGTTTGTGTTCTTTTCTGTGTTTTTCTCGTGCTTCTTCCTTTTCCTCGCCGCTTGTGTTGTCGCGTGGAAGGCTAAGCAGGCGGCCGACGTGCGACGCGCCCGACGAAGGCACGTGGTGGAGGTAAGTTGCTAGCAAAACTCATTCTTTATTTTATTGCTAGATGGGTGGACGAGCTCACAGCCCACCTGGTGTTAAGTAGTAACTGGAGCCCATAGACATCCACAATGTAAATGCGCCACCCACCTTGAGATATAAGTTCTAAGGTCTCAATATAGTTACAACGGCTGCCCCAGCCTTCAAACCGAAACGCATTACTGCTTCACGGCAGAAATAGGCAAGGTGGTGGTACCCACCCCCGCGCACTCACAAGAGGTCCTACCACCAGTAAACATTAACAATATTTATGTTTCCTCGAATACAGCTTTTCTTTGCGTACGAGTATTCGGTGAATTATCAATTTATGTCATGAAAGTATATTTTGCAGATGCTACATATGGCTAAACGTCCGTTCGCGGTCGTGACGGTAGTCTTAAACGGCGGAGTGACGTCATCTGGGGGTCGCCGGCGCCGCGGCCCCGACCTGCGTCCTATCGCCATCGAACCCACTGGCGACGGGCGGGCCGCCGTCACTTCTGTACTCGTCAGGTAAATATCTTATTTCTTCTCTTTTGCATTAAATATAATACAGAATACGTACAAAAGAAAACCAACTTCAACAAAATATAATGAGAATATCATTAATGTGGTTAACGTCAATTAAATATGCATTAAGAATAAATAGCTTAAAAATTCATGGTCAGATCTTAATAAATTTTAAACGTGACCTGTTGAGAAGTACTATCTATACTCTATACTATAATATTATAAAGCTGAAGAGTTTATTTGTTTGAACGCACTAATCTCAGGAACTACTGGTCCGATTTGAAAATTTTTTTCAGTGTTAGATAGTCTATTATTGACCGAGGAAGGCTATAGGCCATATAACATCACGCTAAGACCAATACAAGCGGAGCACCGGTAAAGAGTGTTTCAAAATCGGGGTTATTTTTACCTTTTGAGAGCTTCCGCTGCGTGCGCTGCAGAAACGGTTAAAGTTTCGCTAAAATAATGTATGACGGGATTGTTCCCCTTTAAAAGATCTAAAAAAAGTCTGCGACAGCAGGTCTATATGTTAAGATTGGCTCACTATAACGTTTTTTATAACCTAACCAAATTTGTTCTAAAATAAAGCATTATTTGTGAACTATTCCACGCGGACGAAGTCGCGGGCCAAAGCTAGTCTTTCAAATAAATAAGTAATCATCAAAATCGGTTCACCTAGATATAACACACATAGACCATTGAGTGATACCGACGAGGATAGCAATATATTATACCGTGTCGTGCGCAGGTTGCCCGGAGGCGCCCGCGCGCCCGTGCGGATGGCGCTAGCGTCGTCGCTGGTGGTGGTGGGGCGCACCGCTGCCCCGCGCCCCCGACCGCGCCGCCCTCCTCCCCTCGCGCGTCTGGCCGCGCACACCTAGCACCACTGCGCCGCCTGTCACCGCTGCGTCTGTCCGCGCCACGACATCCAGCTTCATCATATGTGAGCGATGCCCTCGGTGGACAGGCGGCCTTTCGAGACCCAGCTTCAGCTTGGCGCACTCAAATTACTATCGAAGTATACTTTCGTCATTACGGCCCGATCACAAACAGTGCGCGCTGTGTTTCGTCATTATCATATTTCGGATGAACTGTTGATGGAGAATGAACTACAAAATATTTAGATTAAAAATGACTAAATGTATCAGGTTTAATTACGTAGACGTGGTAAATGTACCTGGAGAATAGGTGTCCCGAAACGCATATAACTAAAACGTGCGGATCAGTTTAAGAAATATCACATAGTTGTTACTCTGTTGCTCGATATAAATATATATTTTCAGTAATGGAGCCAAAGGAAATTTATATAGGTCGTGTGAGGCGCGCTGGTTGTGAAACTGCAATTATAGTCGCTATACATACTGTTTTGTTGTTTATTTCTAAATTTTATTATATATGTTGAAAAAGCTTGCAAAACATTTTATATTATTATATACGTAAATGAAATCGCTACGAAACTGTCCAAGTAAATATATTTATAACAGTTATTCGGCATGTGTAAGACCGGATTGGGAAAACTTGAATGAATGGTTCATTTTCAGCGTCATTATTTTTTTTATGTTCCTACAATTCAATGAATCTCTTATGATGTGATTATTTTATAATATAATTAACGATGGTAGCTACGTTAAGCCAATTGTTTGATTTAGGACATTTTGGATGAACGTATCATTGGCAAATATACAATGTAATGATTTTTTTTAATTATTTTTTTCTTTCAGTAAATTATCATGGCAGTTTAAATGTTTTACATTCTTGCCCTTGATTTAAGAAGAAGGTAATCGTTTTCTAAATGTCCGAATTTTATTTGTATATAAGTAATCAGTACCTAATTATTATTTTACAATTATAAGATTTTGCACAATTTTCTCTTTAGATCTATAACCGTCCTCAGAGTGGTGTCTTGAATATATATTTTATTAATGGGTTTATGTTAACTTGTTTATTGATTAATAAAAACCTTTATATTTTATTTGAAATCAACTGACAAAATATTACATTCGAATATTTCAATCGCTTCTAAATTTTATGTAAAACAATTTTGGTAATGTATTGTTCTACTCGCAATTGCTCATTGATTATTTAAATTTATTTACAGAATTTTATGGAGGTATAATTCTCAACGCATAAAATGAATTAAGATAGTTAAATGTAGTTATAATGACAATTTTTAAACAAGTACTGAATATTTTATTATGCTATTTTAGTTCTACTAAATAATGATTTTTTTTTTAAATAAAATGTCCATATCCAAATTACATTCCACTAAATTGATAATGTACATATTGTGTAATTTATTAATGTGTAGACAGATTTAAAATCAGGTGTCAAAGAGCTTTAAAAAAAAAATGTGTATAGGGAATTGCTCATCTATTAAATTGGGATATTATTGGTATTATTTTACAATGTATTTATTTGTATGGCTTACTCAACCTAAAATTACTTTCAATAACAATGATACTTTTCTTTGCACTAACTGTCATAGTGATAATTATTTTAGTAAAATAATTAAGTTTCATAAAAAATATTGGATCTGATTTGATGGTCTATTTGTGCAGTGATTAATTCATATAAGTTTCACATTTAATTTACCATAGAAAACTGTAAAAATATTATGTTGAATTTTTAGAAACTGTTGTTCACAATCAGTATAACTAATATCTTTATTTTGTTTCGGTACCATATCGATGCAGATTTATTGTTGTCCTTGATTTGTTGATCTAGTCATGTGCTGATTTAAAAAAATGCCTAAAAGTCATTTGCTTTAATAAAATTGAATTACAGTAGCAGTGGGGCAAGTTTCTTAGTGCCAAATATAGTCGTGCCCAGGGCAACTTTAAAACATTAACAAACAGTAAGATTTCGTATAATATTACAATGAGCTCAACTGCATCGATATCTGATGATTTATTGCATTTCTACAAGCAATTAGAGTTGATATTAAAACATAAGTTTAATTGACGTAATATGTACAATATAACATGCCATGCATAAGAATTAACTCACTTGCTCAAACATATAATTTTAAGAAATATACCGCTCACTTTTCATGAGAGAAAATAAAATTTCATCTGAATGTATACATTTTGTAATTCTCTTGAGTTTTTTTAAAAGAGCTTAGATAATATATGATAGGATGGACATTCTCAAATTAGAAGTTATGACAAAATAAATGAAGATACATAATGACAATTCATTATCATAGTTAATGAACTGTAAATGGGCCTTTTGTGTCTATGACGTAATAAGTAACTATATCCTCATGACATTTGTAAGACAATGGCAGTATTACGTGTAAGCAATATAATATTTTTGTTTGATTAACACAAATGTATAATTAATGTTTATAAAATAAAATATACTGTTGTTTGTAAAATATGTTTATTTATTTATTCTTACACATAATAAAATTAAAATAAAGATAATAATTGTTCAAAGTTAATCCCTAACCCTGACTTCAGTCTGAAAATTATATTAAAAATAGCACAACACAAATTTAATAAGGATTTTATCTTTATTGGTCTTTCTGTGTGAGTAGATGGGTTTTAATTTTCTGCAATAATTCTTTTTTCACTGAATCTGGCACAAGTGCTCTAGCACGGGGAGTCACCTTTGTTACTAAAGAATCAAATGTGATGTTTCCGCTCTCATTTTCTTTCACTATGTCTCGACATAGCATTCTGACTTGATCTCTCCATCCGCATTCTATTAATCTCCTTCTCAAAAGCTCCTTAAATCTAAAAAAAATATGGTTATTTTGTGAAAATGGAAAGTCAATTTTATCTTATGTGAAGCTGTATACTACTAGTTTACCTTTCTCGATCTCCACTGAGAATTAAACGTTGGTGTGCAATGGTGTTATTCACAGTCATTTTTTTGCCTGAAAGATATGACGCTCTCAAGTTATAAATCTGCATATTAATTTTTATAGGAAATAGTCTCCATAAGTATATATGTAACATGATCCTGCTATTTTTGGAATGAGGCAAACTTTCTAATCTGAGTTTGGCAGCAGTCTGAGTTATATACAGTATAATATATATTTATATATAATATTATATCGTCGCCCCGTTGCTCTTTTCAGCACCCGCTTTAGCAGAACCAATCTAGGCAAGCACTCACCTACTCTTCGTCTGACTAACCTTTATAATAATCTAGTTAGAAAAGTTGAAAACCTTGACATATTTGGCGATTCCCTTCCAATATTTAAGAACAAAATTATAAAAAGTTGTTGTTGAACCTCAGCCTCAGCCTTGGTCTGAGTACTTGGGTGTTACTGCCCTTGTTGTCTTTCTTTTGTTTTTAATTTTTTATTATTATTAATAGTATTGTTAAATCTCTATTAATATATTAATGTAATGCATGCTGTGATTGCCTATAATTAGAGTTGCAGTTATCAATTGCTCTATACATGTCAATGTTATTTTATGTCTTACTGTAAACCCTGTCGGTAATCCTTAAATAAATAAATAAATAATTAAGACCTCAAGTGTATAGTATATTATATATAGTATATTATATATCTGAAGTCGTCGTGGCCTAAAAGATAAGGCGTCCGATGCATTCGTGTTGAAGCGATGCACCGGTGTTCGAATCCCGCAGGCGGGTACCAATTTTTCTAATGAAATACGTACTCAACAAATGTTCACGATTGACTTCCACAGTGAAGGAATAACATCGTGTAATAAAAGTGAAACCCGCAAAATTATAATTTGCATAATTACTGGTGGTAGGACCTGTTGTGAGTCCGCGCGGGTAGGTACCACCGCCCTGCCTATTTCTGCCGTGAAGCAGTAATGCGTTTCGGTTTGAAGGGTGGGGCAGCCGTTGTAACTATACTGAGACCTTAAAACTTATATCTCAAGGTGGTTGGCGCATTTATGTTGTAGATGTCTATGGGCTCCAGTAACCACTTAACATCAAGTGGGCTGTGAGCTCGTCCAACCATCTAAGCAATAAAAAAAATATATATATCATTGTGGTGGTTTGGTGTATTCAGGTAGTGATGTCAATAATATGAAGGATAAAGCGGGTCATGAATGCACTTATGTATGAGTATTTGAAAATTAATAGCTAAATGAATTAAGTAATCGATAAAGAAAATTTTAATATAATTAGTTATATTGATTTAAAAAATATTATATTTTTATGTGACAAATTATTTCTTGAATACTGTTAAAATAATCATTGCTTTTTTGAGTGGTTTAATTTGTATATTGTAACTTCATACATTTGTTACTATGTCCGGATTATACTAAGCCTAGTTTTGTTTGTTCAGATAGTTGTTGCAGTAAAGCTCACATACCACCTAATAGTAAGCAGATTAGAACTCAAAGAAACCATAAAATTAATGTTGTCCATTTTGATGCAACATTATCCATTTTTTACTTTACATTTACTTTACTATCCTTTTACTCTACTATAGAAAAAAATTATAGTTTTAAAGTGATTAAAAGTAACTACAGTTTAATGCCTTAACATGTCGAAACAATAGATTACTTCTGTCATCTCATCAGTTTAGGATCAAAATTACTAAAAATGCTTGCTAATAAAAAAGCTAATACAAAGGCTTTAGAAAAAATATTTAAAACCTACAAAAAGATATTTTGTTTTCAATTAATACATTTACTCTACCAGGGATGTCGCTGCGTTTCCAATATTTTTCCAATCTGTTTCCTAATTTATAATAGCTCTCAGCTGTTGAAGTATGACTACAAATAGTACAATGTACAATACAAAGTCAGAAGTTCGACAGTAAAATAAACTACCCTTTTTTTGTATGTAAGTGACACTGTAAGTAATAACAACATTATGTCAGCTGTCAAGCGGTATAGTAGTAGTTCTGTTTTTCCAACTGGAAAGGCAGAAGTATCATACCATACCGCCTAATCTTTTATATTTTTTTATAAGTAACTAATATATTATAATATATGGTATCATTTAAGGTCTTTTTATTTGGGAACTTTTTGGCGGGAACGCGAGGAGTGAAGTTGTGTGATATGTTTATTTTGTCTATTTAGTGTTTCTTCAGGTTTAAATGTGTAATAACGGTGGTTTTTTGGCTGTTTAATATCTGTGAAAGTGCACAAATATGGGAAAATGAAACAAAGCCGCTGGACGTAAATTCTCGGGATCCTCCAAAAAATCCACTGAAATAGTCTCAGTAAATTACCACCATTTTACTGAGATTATATTATTATTGCATCCCATATCATCTCATCTCATTTCACTTCATTCCATTTCATGCCATATTTTATAATATTAATCAACTTCATTTCATTTCCCTTCATGTTATAATTTGCAGAGTTAATTACAACGTTAATCAAATTACTTTCTCAACCTAATTTATTTATATCGTCCTACGCTGCTAATTTAATTCATACTAACACTGATATTAATAATGACTAACATGGACAGTTTCCTTCGTTTTTTATTATTCATAAACTGTACTGTAAATAATTAAAATGGCGAATTCTTCGAATCTTGTTACTTGACACCAGCTAATGCATAAACCGTGCAGGAGCCCAAAAAAAGTCGAGTGATGTGCAAGTGTTGGGCTCAGCTGAGCCGCTTATCACGTCTCACCATAGATTATACAGTTAATATATTTACGTCACGGCATACCAGTGGAGTAGGAAGTAGAGGATCTGGTTCTAGTGGTAGCTTACTACCAGCTATCGCTAGTTCTTCGGTTGACGAAGATGAGTACCTACGTTGCTCTTGCGATACCTCGGCCTACTGGGTCATCTGACAGAAGAATATTCAAAGAGTATATATAATCACTACGTGGAATTATTGGTCTACCCACTTCGATAAAGCGGCACGACACGAGAATCCTCTCATCGTGGCCGCCGGTAACTACATTCCCGATCCTGCGGACAGAATGGAAAGCAGTCAACGTCGCCCAAAACACGTCATCTCGGATCCTCCCGATCCACTAACGGTGCTTCTAGGTACTTCAAGCACTGGTCACCGTTCTCGTCGAACCCGTCGCATTCGACGAAGGGCTCGACGAGTAAATTAACTCTCAGACACAGCCCACTGAGTTTCTCGCCGGATCTTCTCAGTGGGTCGCGTTTACGATCCGGTGGTAGATTCTGCGAAGCACGGCTCTTGCTAGGGTTCATGTTAGCAACGTCATCAGGTTTGAGCCCCGTGAGCTCACCTACTAGTTAGGATTACGCTGGAATAGCCTCTCAAGGCTACCAGCTAAGGAAGGGAAAAAAAAAAAATTGGTCTACTCGGATCAGTTACAGTAAGTTTTAAATTATTGTATACATATACATTTTAATTTTTTTATTGTTGGTTGAAAATGGTTAATAAGAAAAGTTAAATTAGGCTAGGATTAGTGAGGTTAAGAAATGTTATTTTGTGCAACAATCACAATTTATTTTATTTTATAGAATTTCTGTAAATTAAACGGTTGTCTGGAAGAGATCGCTTTTAGCGATAAGACCGCCTATTGTACATATGTGCTTTTTGACTGTTTTTTTTTTAATGTAAATTGTGTTGGTGTGCAATAAAGTGTATTCTCTCTCTCTCTCTCTCTCTCTAAATGCCGCCACCCACCTTGAAATAGGTATGAGTTCTAAGGTCTCAGTGCAGTACAGTACAACGGTTGCCCCACCCTTCAAACCGAAACGCATTACTGCTTCACGGCAGAAATAAGTAGGGTGGTGGTACCTACCTATGCAGATTCGGAAGACGTCCTACCACCAGTTATTACGCAAATTATAAACTTTGCGGGTTTGATTTGTATTAACGATGCTATTCCTTGACCATGGAAGTCAATCGTGAACATTTGTTAAGTACCTACGTATTTCATTAGAAAACTTGGTACCCGCCTGCGGGATTCGACCACCTTTGCATCGCTAGATACGAATGCACCGCACGTCTTATCCCTTAGGCCATGACGATTTACTGTATCTTAGGCCACGAGGACTTAAGAAGAGATTTCAGAGCTATGTCTAACTGGAGAGAGATCTTCAGCAATTTGGGAACTGCAATGCATTAGGTTTTCAGAGGCGAAAGGAGTAATCCCGAAACGAAAAATGTAGTCATATAATTGTCGAAAGAATCTGGGCGAGTTGGTATGTTTAGATGCCTAAAAAGTAACTGCTCAACCAAGGGCGGATCCAGCTTTGGCGCCAGGAGGCGGTCACATAGTCAAATTTAGATGCGTTCGTTCCCAAACGTTTGCCATTATACAAAGTTATTACATATATTATATTAAATTAATTAAATATTGAAGGTATGTAGTTACATAAAATCTGTATGGAAACAAAATATATAAATAAAATCATTATATTCAATTAGTAGTCCACCTAAGTCCTGGAACCAGCTCAGGGGGTGGTCATGACCCCCATGACCCCCCCCCTGGATCCGCCATTGTGCTCAACGAAACAAGTTTCTTACGCTATTGGGATGTGGTTGGAAAACTCAGGGTTGTCCCTCATGTTAATCCAAATAATGTATGCTTTTAGTGAGGGGTTGACTTATCATCAAACAAGAAAAGAATTAGCATATGATGGTGGTCCGGTAGTTTCTACAAGGACAGTAACAGATTGGTTAAGCTATTGCAAGAAGACAATCACCATATACAAGTTGGGAATTCGAAAGGCCCAAGGGAAGATAGAGCTCTCTAATAAAGTGTTGACCCAATAAATTTGTGACATCAACAGGTCACACACCCAGCATATAGACAGCTAGTGAGCCAGAAAGAAGAAATTTCGACAACAAGAAATGAACAATTTTACAGACTAGTTGTGCGAGTACTCATGAAGGCTGGGGTTAGGTATAGGTGAACCATTGGGATGTGAACAATTATTAAATGCAATAAAACATGTTTATAAATTAGATTTAATATAACATTAATACAATTGCTTGTGTTATTCTCATTATATGAATATCCATAACCTGAACATAAGCTTTAATTCGCGAGCAGGTGAGACCGACAACTTCCCGTCTCTCCCGGTAATCATAATATCTAAAACCGAATAAACTTAATAAAATTAGAAGTGAAATCGGTTCAGTATTTGGTATAAGATACTTTAATAAAAAAAAAATATTGCTTAGATTGGTGGACGAGCTCACAGCCCACCTGGTGTTAAGTGGTTACTGGAGCCCATAGACATCTACAACGTAAATGCGCCACCCACCTTGAGATATAAGTTTTAAGGTCTGAGTAGTTACAAAGGCTGCCCCGCCCTTCAAACTGAGGCGCATTACTGCTTAGCGGCAGAAATAGGCGGGGTGGTGGTACCTAACCGTGCGGACTCACAAGAGGCCCTAACACCGGTAATTACGCAAATTATAATTTTGCGGGTTTGATTTTTATTACACGATGTTATTCCTTCATCTTTCTACCCGATGATATGTAGGCGAAGTAAAATGTCCCTTAGAAATAATGTGACACTCTACAAAACTTGCATACGCCCCGTCATGACCTATGCAAGTGTAGTGTTCGCTCACGCGGCCCGCACTCACTTAAAATCCTTCCAAATTATTCAATCCCGTTATTGCAGGATAGCCGTCGGAGCCCCGTGGTTCGTCAGGAACGTCGACCTCCATGACGACCTGGACTTAGAGTCCATCAGTAAGTATCTGCAGTCGGCGTCCATGCGCCACTTCGATAAAGCGGCACGACACGAGAACCCTCTCATCGTGGCCGCCGGTAACTACATTCCCGATCCTGCGGACAGAATGGAAAGCAGTCGACGTCGCCCAAAACACGTCATCTCGGATCCTCCCGATCCACTAACGGTGCTTTTAGGTACTTCAAGCACCGGTCACCGTTCTCGTCGAACCCGTCGCTTGCGACGAAGGGCTCGCCGAGTAAATTAACTCTCAGACACAGCCCACTGAGTTTCTCGCCGGGTCTTCTCAGTGGGTCGCGTTTCCGATCCGGTGGTAGATTTTGCGAAGCACTGCTCTTGTTAGGGTCAGTGTTAGCAACTCTCCGGTTGAGCCCCGCGAGATCACCTACTAACGTTAGGGCGAAGCTGAAATAGCTTCTCAAGGCTATCAGCATAGGTAGGAAAAAAAAAGGAAGCTAATCGTGAACATTTGTTAAGTACGTATTTCATTAGATACATTGGTATCCGCCTACGGGAATCGAACACTGTTGCATCGCAAGATACGAAATCATCGGACGTCTTATCCTTTAGGCTACGAAGACTTTTCATACGTCCCAAAAAAGCTAGGTGGTGTTAGTGTATTCTTCTATGGTCCCCCCGGTGAAGGTCAAGGGGCTACCTGAGGGGGTCGAGGCCGCGCGGCGTACTATCAGCACTTTAGCGCGCAACCCTAGACTAGTATCTTCTAGATAAAAAGAGCAACCGGTTGGCGGTGTATCGCATTCTGTCCCGGCTAACCTAGCTCTGTCCCTAGGCTTAGGCTGGTTCTGGTCCAGCGGGGTATTCCAGGACACCAGCGGCACGGTCTGGGCACCCGACGGACTGCCGTACCTAGAAGGCCGACGTTTCAGACGGCCGGGCGTCCTTCGGGTAAGCTGCGCCGTCAGGTTTAGTGCTGACCGCGGTAAGCTGCTTACCTCATCCGGGTTCTGACCTCTGAGGGAACCGGAGGGCGAAGAGTACAGGGGAGTCGTTTAGTAGGTAGGATCCTGAAAACATCCAACTGGTTCGCAGTCGCGGACCAGTCTGACATTCCGCGCGCCCCCCTAGGCGCGGCATCTCGTAGGAGGCTCGGCCCCCGGCCCGAAAGAAATAATAAAAATCGTGTATTCTTCTATGCACTATGATGGAAATCTCGATTTGCAGACAGGCGAGAAACGTAAGCCAGTAATTATAACATTCTAGAATAATACTAAATATGGTGTAAATATTGGGGACAAAATGTGTAATTCTTACGATATTTCCAGAATGGTGATTATAAGTGCCATAAACGGGTATGTTGTGCATACAATAAACAAGGGCTACAGTAACAAGCAACGAAAAGATTATTTGCACGAAATTGATTTTCATCTTTTAACTCCATGCATAAAGCGCGGAATAACTGTCGGAAGTATTTCAGAAATCATTGAAAATAAAAGAAAAATGCTTTTAGGTCTAAATGATCCATCTGAGTTGGACCCGGGTCCAGCGCAATCTCCAAACACCGGTCGTATTGGAAAATGTGCTTGCTAGAGTGAACGGTTCCGTAGTTAAAATTAAACTTTAGGTAGATAACACTTATTCTTCTTTTTCTTCTTTCGTCCCCGTTCCCGTTATCTGGGGTCGGAATAATACTAATAATAATAATAGATAATACTTATTAACTTTTGCAATTTCAATTAAGTAGATAATTTATATATTACTTAATTATTTTATTACTTAATTTATCACCTAATTAATTCTAAACAGCTCAGTGCTCTTCTAGACTTCTAGAGGAATTGTTTGAGATAATCCCGTCATCTCATTTTTGTCATCGTGCCATCGAGGTAGATTTCATTCCTAGAAACCTAGAGTTCTAGTACCACTACTGCGGTCATCCACATTGCCTTTCTAGAGCAACGTACACAACAAATAAACAAACGAACAATAACATAATTATCTTTATTTATCATGTTCAAACCTATTTACGTTGAATATATCTGATGTTTCAAATATTTTCACAATACTAGCGGACCCGGCAGACTTCGTAGTGCCTCAATCGAGAAATAAAAGACCTAAACTTTTGTATAAAATAAACTTAAAACAAATAAAAGAATCCGTCCGACGGCAGACGCATCAAAGGGAAAACAAAATTGTTATTTTTATTTAATTCCGAGCATTTGCATTTATCTACCTTGTTAACCTTCTCTGGACTTCCACAAATGATTCAAGACCAACATTAGCCAAATCGGTCCAGCCATTCTCGAGTTTTAGCGAGACTAACGAACAGCAATTCATTTTTATATCAAATATATAGAAGATTACTTTGGAAAGCTGGAAGCGTGGCACGGCATTTTCATTATTTCCGAAAAATATTTCTCAGTGAGATTTGCATACTCATCAGTCTTACTCATTTTACATCAGAATTGCTGGCCCACGGATCCTCGTAGGACTGAAAGACAAAAAAATGATAACTTTTAAAAATCAAGAATTCTCAATAAAAATTACTAAAATTTATAATAAACAAATTATTACTAAAATAAATTCAATCTACTTGTATTTCAGGTTTTTTTTATTGCTTAGATGAGTGGACAAGCTCACAGCCCACCTGGTGTTAAGTGGTATTGGAGCTCATTGACATCTTTTATTTATTTATTGCTTACATGGGTGGACGAGTTTACATCCACGATGAAGGAACAACGCCAAGCATTCTTGATGGTTAATGCGTTTAGTGTGCTTAGTGCGAGTTGACTAACGTTCTCGTTAGCATAAAAGTTAGCTCATATTTGTATGAAGTGGGATCGTTTACCCACGCTTGCCGCTAGGGGCGCTGTTCCAACTGCATACAAAATTGTGTTAACTTTTACACTATCGAGAACGTTAAAGAACTCGCACTAAGCACACAGGCCGTTGTGCGTCGTGGTAGTCGGTAAGAATCATTGAGTGAAACTTATAGTGATGCTTGTAGACCGCAGTAATTGTTATAAAACGGGCCACATGAGCTATTTGTTTATCTTTACCAAAAAAGTACAATGACGCTGTCTACCTTGTAACGTACTTTGTAACCTTATACAGCTCTGTATGGCTTCCTTCGTCCACGTAGACGTATCCATTAATTAAATTACATTGCCCGCTTTAACAAAGTCAGTTAGAAACTAAATGTACACTCAACTTTAGTAGAGTTTTTAATATGAAGTTTCTACAAGTTCTTTATACAGTGATATATTCTTCTTTACTTTTAAATCTTGTAGATGTATGTATTTTCTGAAACTCTAATTTTGAAATGTCAGAAAATTTAATATAGGTATTTTATTACCTATGTGTAATTTAACTTTGAGTTTTATATTTAGGGACGACAATTTCGTGTTACTGATCAAGTGTACTTAGACGTTAAGAATGAAGACAAGGACCTGGGAAGACTTGTTATTGGACTGTTTGGAGATTTAGCTCCAAAAGCGGTGAATAATTTCAAAGTTCTTGCTACTAAAGGCATAAATGGGAAATCGTATAAAGGAACTCGGTTTAATCGTATCATCAAAAGGTTTATGGTCCAAGGTAATGACGATTCTCTTGTAAATAGGCTACTGAATTTGAAGCATGAATCAATTTTTTTTTACATTACTTATTCACAATTTATTAAAAAAGCACTTGTAAATTTTAGAAAAAAAAACAAGTCACTGAAGGGTAACAATTCTTTGAGTATTACTATTTCTAGTTGCGTTAGAACGCAGAGGAGCGTAAGGCTTATCTGAAAATATGTGGTTACCGTAGTCCATTGATATCATGAATGCAAGGGACATAGGCAAGCCGTTATCCAGTGGCGTTTAAAGAGTGTAAAGACAAAATAGTTCCGCAAGGCGAATAATTTTAGATCTATTTAGGCAGGCTTTTAAATTAACATCCAGCGTCGGTCAACGCATACGGAACACTACAAGATGAACATTATACGTAACTTTACACAAAAAAACTGTTATGCATCATTTACAGGCGGTGACGTCGTTTCCGATGACGGTAGTGGTAGCATTAGTATTTATGGAGATACATTTGACGATGAAAATCTGGAAACCCAACATAGTACAGGAGGCTTTGTGTCAATGGCCAATAAAGGTAAGCCACTTCAATTCAAGTCACAGTAATGTTATATTTTTTCTTACCTATTCGTTGGTAGTTTAAGAGGCTATTCCAGCTACGCCCGGATGGGTAGATGAGCTCACGGATCAACCTGAGAGCATTTGCTAACATTAGCCCTAGCAAGAGCAATGCTTCGCAGAATCTACCACCGGATAGGAATCGCGACCCACTGAGAAGTTGCGGCGAGAAACTCAGTGGACTGTGCATGTGGGTTAGTTCGCTCGTCGAACTCTTCGTCGTAATCGACGAGTTCAACGAGGAAGATAATTTATTTATTTTTATTTATTTATTATTTATGAATTAACTAGTTTAATATTTCTATGTAGGTACCTATATTAATTTATACCTACTCTGCTTAATATTTCTTGTGTCACAGGTAAAAACACAAATGGCTGTCAGTTTTTGATAACCACCACTGGTGCGCCTTGGTTAGATCAACTGCACACTGTAATTGGGAAAGTAAGTCAACCTACATTTTGATGGATTGATGGGGTACGATATCCGTAACAAGTTTCTTATCACAGGTCGTAGAAGGTCAGAAAGTGGTGCATCTGTTGGAGCACACGCCAACCGATGTTGAGGATCGACCGTTGGAGCATGTATATATTTCAGACTGTGGTCTGCTGCCGACACCGCAACCTTACTACATATCCGACGATCCATACGAGTGAGTTTACGTTTATTGATTGAGGAACATTGCATGCTGTTGATCGTAAAATTCTACATTAAGCGGAATAAAAATAAAAAAAATTTTTTTTAGTTGTTTTTGTAATAAGATTCTAAACTTAACTTTAATATAATTGAAAATTTTAGTAGTAACTAACGCATTTTTTTTTGTATTCACAGTTTGTGGGCGTGGATCAAGGCCTCTGCAGTGCCGCTGACGATGTCATTTTCGATACTTGGTTTCTTCCATTGGATGATTAGGAAAATGGAAATTTAAGAAATAAATAAAATATATAGTTAAACATAATAGTTATATAACATATTGCGCTGTATTATTGCATTTAATAATATTAAATTTATTTATTAATATTGTATATGGAAAAAAATTTAGAAAATAGTATTTAACAAAAAATTGTCTTTAATCTGAGATTGAGAAAGTCGTCATAGGCAGGCAAACTCCTATAGGCGGAATGAAACAGACTTCATAAGTTACTTCATTCCTCTAGTACAGCCTTTCCCAAAGTGGGCGATAACGCCCCCTTGTGAGCGCTGCAGGCTTAATGGGAGGCGGTAATAGACCCAGAAAAAAAGAGGGCGTTGTGTAGAGGCTTGGGAGGCGATTTGTAATGTCATCTAGGAGGACTCTTAGACACCGACTGAGCTCTCGCTATAGTGGTTTTTAAAGTAGGTAGAAAAAATGGGGGCGCTAAAAATAATTTATTCTCAAAGTGGGCAGTAGACAAAATATGTTTGGGAACCACTGCTCTAGTAGAACAGTGAAATGCGAGGCACCAATACCTATTAGCGACCATCTAACAAAATATTGTGGTATAAAATACATTATAATCATGTATTGTATTCTTCAATAGTTACCTATATCTAATTTTCCAATTGGGTATTATTTAGTTATACTCATGAGAGGAACAAATAATTAAACGCAAAGACAGCGTCATGAGGTCGAAGTCCAAATTCTATTGTATAGCACGATGGATTCGTGCCAGTGCTGACTTAGTCTACTCAATCAGTAGCATTCAATAGTTTATAGTACCAATATCAGAACAACAAGTGGTACAATAAATATATTTCATATTCCTTCGTCGTTAGTTTGTAAGATAGTGCCTAGTTTAATGTAACAGGTGATAAGGTAATGACGGTACAATGTAAGTAACGGTTCCTGAGCAGTTTTGCATAAAATGTAACACATTGAAAATCAGCTGACACTAGCGACTGGCGTCCGTCCGCATTGGAGTATAAAATATGAATACCGTTTGTGGCATCGGGAACCGTTGCCTTACAACCCATGAAATGGAAAAGTTTCATTTTAAGTTTTTTATTTTGTTATTTATAATATAAACACTCCTTCCTTAGCATAAAATAGGCAATTCTTATTAAATTAGTAATGTGAGATAAACAAAATAAAATCTAGTTTTAATCTCCATTTGCTACTCGAGTTAATTAAGTCTGTGGGACAGTCTTTGAAGCACCTTTACGGTATAAACTGTATTGCTTTCTGTATACATTCATTTGGGAATAAATAATTATTTATCCAAGATACATTTAAATTAAACAATAAATTAAACAGCATGTACTTAAAAAAACATAATGTTGATTGGGAATGCGGTGTCTGAAAGTACTTTAATGACACACCATTGTGCATTATTTCTAATGTTTGTATTAGATAATTTTCACACAGGTTGTTATTAAAGTATGTTCATACAAGAAAAAATACCGATTTTATATATTTTTCAACACGCACCCTGTATTTGTTAAATTATATGAGATTGCTTTAAATTGCCGGTTCACAAAATGGTGATGTGCCAAATGAATCAGGATAATTTGTTGCGACATATCGAGACAACGTTATCGTTTTGCTTTCGAAAACAGTTCCCCTGTTCACTATGCGGATATGCCAGTATTTTTATAATCATCGGTAGTATGATTCAGGATTTGTCTGTCGAATAGACCATCAGATGAAACTAGGTGTGCACAGTTTGCACTAGTTGTCCTTAACCTTTAATATTTGTAAGGAAGGTTTACGTTATTATTTAATTTTATCATATCACAATTTATATATAATCTGTATAGTGGTGATATCACAGATGTATTAATATGGTAAGCAGAGCAGTAGCGAGTATGGCAACTAGTTGTGGCGCGAGCAGGAGTGCGGAGTCTGGTTGCGAGGGGTTGCGGAGCGGGTCGCGGGGCGGGTCGGCTCGCTGCGAGGCGGCGGCACCGCACGCGCGGCTACACGACGGCCACGCGCTGCATACGTCACACGACGAACTCGGAACCGCCTCGTAGAACACACGGGCGCGATGACCTGCGCGCACATAACATTTTAGTAATATAGGTACTAAATTTTTTTTAAGTAATTATCGGGATTGAAGGATTATACTGTAACTCCAGTATTAACAGTATTAAAAGTTTTTGTTTTTTTGAGAGGCTATATCAGCTTTGGCCTAGCGTCTAGGTGAATGCGTTTTGGTTTGAAGGGTGGGGCAGCCGTTGTAACTATACTGAGACCTTAGAACTTATATCTCAAGGTGTGTGGCGCATTTACGTTGTAGATGTCTATGGGCTCCAGTAACCACTTAACACCAGGTGGGCTGTGAGCTCGTCCACACATCTAAGCAATAAAAAAAAGGTGAGCTCTCGGGCTTCAAAACGCAGGTTCTAACACTGGCCCTGGCTAGAGTAGTGCTTCGCAGAACCTACCACCAGATCGAAAACGCGTCCCACTGAGAAGATCGAGCGAGAAACTTAGTGGGTTGTGTGGCATAGGCTAGTTTACTCGCCGAGCCTTTCGTCGCAAGCGATGGGTTCGGCGAGGACGGTGACCGGTGCTTGAGGTACCTAAAAGCACCGTTAATGGATCGGGAGGATCCGTTATGACGTGTCTGGCGACGTCGACTGTTTACCATTCGGTCCACAGGGTCGAATATGTAATTTCCGGCGCCCACAACAAAAGGATTTTCCTGTCGTACCGCCTTCTCAAAGTGGCGCATTAATCCTGACTGTGTATACTTACTGATTGAGTCAAGCTCCAGGTCATCATGGAGATCCTCTTTCCTTAAGAACCATGGTGTTCCACCCTGTTATTGCTGTATACATTCATGCATGATTCATTAAATCTACCACAATCGGAAACTAAATATTATGAATTTAATAGATTATGAAACGCTTTTAGACGATGCGTGATAATGTCAATGATAGCGCTAGGATCCCTTTTATCACCCCTATGGATCCCAGCGGTGTGTATGTGGTGGATAAATCGTATAGCTGATACTGACTGGAGTCATAGAGGTCGGTGAGTGTAACCCAGGCGGGGCGCTGGTGTGCGACGGGCAGAGCTCGCGGTGCCGACAGCGTGGCGCAGGTCTCCGCACGTGTCGCTCGCACCCACCCCACCACACGCGCACCCCCCGCCGTTACACGTGCACGCACTACTTGTGACGCTGACTGCAACAGTGTTACAACAAAAAATATATATATATATATACCAAGGTATAATTTCGTAATGCATTTTCGTTGTAAGAGAAAATAAACGTACCGTTAGTTCCGAAATGGTGTTTATATCGGCTAAATATCCGGATGGAAGTTGTACGGTCATCAACACCAATCCGCTCTTTGTGTCGTTACTCTGAGCGACGAACCTGCTCCAAATTTTCAAGAGTCATTAATGTACGAGCTGAGTATGTCTGGTATACTCTAACAAGTTTAACAAGTATTAAACAGACTCTCGGAAAAACGGTTATATCCTAAGACGAAACCCCTGTTGTGAATGTTTTCGTACTGTTAACACGATTAAAGGAAGTTACGCGGAGTCTGTAGTCTCGGTTTTTTATTACTTCGGTATCATACGTTACATAGACTTGTACCGTACGTAGTATCTGCGTCATAAATAGCGTGTAAGTACCCATAGCAGATGGAGAGTTGGAGCCGGTACGGCGTGGAGCGCATGTCACGCCGCGGGTCGAGCGTGTAGCGCGGCCACGCAGCCGTCGCCCGCGACACGCCGATGCCGCGCAGTCCTACCACCGCGACTCCACGACCTTCCGACACCGCACTGGCGCTCGCTGTCGCCGCACTGCTGCCGCGGATCTGTAACACGCGATTTTTTTTCCCTACCTATGCTGATAGCCTTGAGAGGCTATATCAGCTTCACCCTAATGTGTAGGTGAGCTCACGGGGCTCAAACCGGAGTGTTGCTAACACTGGCCCTAGCAAGAGCAGTGCTTTGCAGAATCTACCACCGGATCGGAAACGCGACCCACTGAGAAGATCCGGCGAGAAACTCAGTGGGCTATGTCTGTGGGTTAATTCGCTCGTCGAGCCCTTCGTCGCAAGCGACGGGTTCGACGAGGACAGTGACCGGTAACACGCAAAACTTTTGATGTGAAACATCTATAGCAGCACATACAACCGATTGCTGGCGCGGCGACAAATGTTGTGGCGACGCGTCGCTTTGCTACATGATAGTAAATATATACAGTCTATATGTAGTAGTGTTTACGGAGTGGTGACGAGTAGCTATGCGCAAGCGACTGTTTCTTAATTATAATATTTTATTTTTTATTATGCCACATGAATTTCCTGTCGTACACTATCCTTTTACTTAAACTATCCATACTTGTACAAAATAACATCAATGTTTCACATTTGCCAGTTTTCTCACGATGGCTCATTTTTTTAAACTACGATTATTTTGCCAATCTTTTAAGTTCTGAATCAGTCATTTTTATAGTAAAATCTCAACCTACGTAAATTTTTCAAACACTAATTCCCACTACTTGCCGTCCACATATAGCTCTACTAGTTAGATGTCTATCTATATTCGATCAACCTTCTGAGACAGTCGTGTTTGAAGAGCGTGTCCTTATTCAAATGTACCTGAGTATTCGACCTATTGTCATAAGGTGGTTGGTATTCAGGTATTTGGTGTAGACAAAAGGATATGTTCATATGGTCTTCAGAAATTATTTGGAGTCTAGTCTGACATTCAAGTCCAAAGTATTGATTGGTCTTGATTTTGTTTAATTATACCAGAAACTTTTTCCAAACTCTACTAACAAATCGAAGCTCTTTGAAATCAAAATAATATTCACGGTAGGCAGCGGCTTGGCTCTGCCCCTGGCATTGCTGAAGTCCATGGGCGACGGTAACCACTCACCATCAGGTGGGCCGTATGCTCGTCTGCATACAAGGGCAATAAAAAAAAATAAAAAAAAATTCAGTAAATAGAAAAAAAATAAAAAAAAATATGAAAATACCGATTGTGTCTGTATGATGAGCGCGTTATTTTCACCAATCTGGAACTGTCTGGTCTCTTCTGAACCGGTCACATTTACTGAGATCCGCAGTTTCGAAGATGATCGTATTGTTTCAGCAAACTGAGCTAAAGCGTCCACCTTAACAAATAATTCGGATTATTATTATTTAGATTGAAAATTCGATAAAAAGTTTAAAATCTGTTTTGGTTTATCGTGTTAATACATACAACGTCAGGATCAGGATCGCTTGGTGAATACTGAAGTAAGTAATTGACGACCGGAATGGATTCGTCCAGTAGCCGTGCAGCGAGCATACAACGGAGACCCCACGCAGCTGTCGTCAGCGCCAAGCTGTTGTATCGCAGCCAGGGGTTGCGCCACTCAGA